GTTAAAGAAAGAGAAATAAATCTTTTAGTCTGTCCATGAGTGGGGTATTACAATTAATCAAGTGGTTTCATTATTGCCCCATCTTATTATTAAAATAAAGAGGTTCATCAGGCTGCAGCTGAGTTTCATTATTTGAGGTAAATCTATATATTATTAGACTTTATAATATTTAGACTTGTGTGATGATGTGCATCATCTTCCTCTGGGTTTCTCCTCCTCTCACACAGCCTTTCTCTCTGCTTCTCTGAAAACAATAAGATCAACATGCATTATTTATTGGAAAGTACATTTGTGTTTTCAAAGTACTGTATGTGCAGATGTGTGTGTGTGTGTGTCACTGCGTATGAGAAGGATGTGACCATGCGATTTAGATTCAAATGAGCGGAGGGTGTGTTCTGCAGGCACAGGTGTGTGCCTGTATGATTTCATCACTTTGAATGCAAATTTTCACCATGGATGGCCATGGAAAATGAGTGAGGGTGGGAGACGGAGGGAGAAAGACAGGAGGCAGAGAGGGAAGGGACATGCAGGAAGTGGTTAGAGTGAGAAAGGGAGAGGGAAGAGGAGAAAGATGGTGCGATGACAGAGCTGCAGGCACTGTTTGCACATGTATCTGCAGGCAAATTAATCACATGATGGCTTCTTACTCCATTAAAATGTTAATGTAGGAAAAAGTATACTTTTCCATGTGCTTGCAATATATCCCACAGTCCAAAGTGTTATTATGCCGAATGCTGGCTGGTGCTAAACGCACATCTGACAGCACATCTGACCAAGATTAAAAGTCTCTTAAATATTGAACAGTGGCAGACCGCAGACATGACATAATGCTTAAAGGGTCGATGCCTTCATCAAATTAGAAAAGACAAAATTCTAAATATTTGGAATTTTGAGCACCAAAAAACAGTTTTCTATTTCCTGAAAAAGCCAGAGCAATTTGAGTTATTTTACATGAACGATCTGTGTTTCTGTCTGCTTTCCTCTTACTGGTTTGAAGTGGGTTAAGGCACAGTTTGAAATAGTTAATATCACATACATCTGCGCACCAAGTAGGATTTCACAACATCTGAATAAAGATCTGATAACTTGAGCACAGAAATCCTTATGTATCAATACAAATATCAAAATAAGATCTATTATTCACCTTTTAATTCATACTAAAAGCTATCAGCTTCCTCTATGTCACTCTACAAATACATATGATTCATCGTTATATGTTTACTTTAAATTTGTGACAAATGCAGGCTCTGCTGTTTTTTTAATGGAGATAAACATGTTTCACTACTGTTAGGTAAAGTCATAAAAGTGGTACAAAAGAATCTGAGAGGAAAAATGCTACCAATTGTATTTATTTTAGTAAAAGATGTATAAGGCACCCAATTAAAATTTGAACTAACACCTCTGGGAAACCAACTGTGGCCTCTGTCTACTTCGAATTCTCATCAAAAATGTGCAAATGATATTACAGCAGGACCTTCTCAGTGCCCTATTAATACATTAATACTAGCACGCAGATGGATGTGGCCGTCATGGCGAGCCCAGCAGACTGAGCCAGTTTTTTACATTATAACAGGCAATATTGTTAACCTGTAGCAAAGTTTTGTTTTTGTAAAAAAAAAAAAAAAAAAAAAGGTTGAGTCAAAATTAAGCAGATGGAATATTGTAATTAGTTTTTCATTTGAATCCTATTTAAAGTTAAAGAAAATCCATTGTTAAAACATATTTCTCTGAATTGAGGCCAAGATATTCCTGATGATTATTTTTGCCCTAATTGTGCAGCCCTACATCACACGCCACTGGCCTCAACCAGTGTTTCGCCTTTTACATAGAGGCGCCAATTTTACTACCTCTGTGGCAGAACAAAGAAGGGTCAACACTCACCCCCATGTCAGCTTGGTATCTTTTATACACAACAGCGTGGTGCAACTGCTGCAATAATCCTGCTTTGAATGGGCAGTGTAAAGGGGGCTCTTGATAATCTTCTGATTTCACTATGCTCTGCATAGAGGCAAGGCACCCTGTACCAGATGCGACAAAGCAACCCCATCACATAACTAAGCCTCCTGCATGTTTCGCAGTGGGGATGGTGTTCTCTTCTTTAAAGGCTTCAGTTTTTGTTCCGTGAACACAGAGCTAATGTGATTTACCAAAAAGCTCTCAGTTTCTTTCATTTGTATAAAGGACACTCTACCACAAGTGCTGCAGCTTGTCAACAAGCATCTGAACAAACACCAGTCAGTTTCTTTGTTTCTCTTAAACGCAGGGTCTTCCTCAACTTAGCCCATTTTTGCTCATTTGCGACAGGACACTGTACCTTGAAATGTGCTTTTAGCTTAGTTTTGGTTTCTACCATGTCCTGGTCCTTCACCAGCTAGTTACTAACTGTGTCCCTTTGCTTTTTAGAGCTGAGCAGGGAGTGTAGAGCTTTTCTACTGAAAACAGCTGCCTGTTGTGACTAAAAACAGCCCTGTGAGAACAGGGAGACCTGAAACACAATGGTAAGGTTGTGGCATGGACAGCAAAACATTTCCAGTGATACTCCCCTGTAAGTTCATTATTACAAATCACCCTTTCTGTTTTCATGTTTTCATTTGATACTGTAGCCAACACCTCTCACACAAAAACACGTTTCCTCACCTAGACTGGTCGGCTTGATGAGCTCGTCCAGCATGTCGTAGAAGGGCAGCCTCTGGAGCTTGACATCTGGGTGGACCGGATGCAGCGTGGCCGAGGTGGGCAGGTGGTGCGTCAGCCTGGTCAACTCATGTTTCTCAGGGCCGAGTAGTGAAAGGGGGAGTAATGCAGCGGGAGATGGGGTTCCACCATGACCAGCATGACCCTCATATGCCAGTTGAGTCAGGCCAGCGGGGAGAGCGGCGCCCCCTCCTCCAACCACTCCAGCTGTGGCAGGGTGGTGCGGTCCAGGAAGGGCCAGTTCTGAATGGGACACCATTTTGGCAGGGAAGCGTCGTCTGTAGAGCTCTTTGATCTTCATGTGCACGGCGGGGCTACAGCCGGCCTTCAACAGATGCAGTGCCTTGGTCAGTAACTCATGCTTGCGTCCATGCTTGTTGCGCCCAGCGTAGCCCAGCAGCACCTGCAGCTCTGACACCCGCAGGCTCATCACCATTTGCTGCAACATAGGGGATGAGAAGGAGGAGGAGAAATTAACTAGCAGTACACCAATATCAACTTTTTAGCTCTAATGTTAGGTGAAACCCAGTGAGGATGAGTTATAACCTCAAGAGCGATTTAAGTGAAGAAGTACTGACCAATGATCTAATAAAGCTGTTGCAACAGCAGCTGAAACAGTTCATTAACATAAGTACCCTTCAGCAAGGCACAGTCTGCTGCTGATGTCTGAGGACTCCCGGCAGATGTCAGGTATGAATGTATGTTCTACAGTACCCTGCAAGAGCTTGAACGCAGTGATAACCTTCCATGGCAAAACAATTAAGGTTGCACTGGGTGGGAAGAATGTGAGCACAAGACAATGGTTTCAGACAATTTCTGTTGGAAAATACTTTTAGTTTTTACTAATACTTTTATTTTAATGTTTCAGTAAAATTTTATTATCATTCCTTTTTTCATTCATTTTTCCGGGTTGCAAGCGAGAGCAGACGTCTTTACTGCTCCTCTTGTCTGTTCAAAGATTTTTCACATCTTCTACATTTTCAAATCTTTGAACAAATTCTACAACTATTAAAATGCCTCCAAGAGGGAAAAGAGCTAATAAATCAGAAGCGAATGAGGATATGGAGGCAGAAGAAGATTATCATAGAGCGGCGCAAGTAACAGACATTCTGGATCAGCAGAAACAGATGTATGGATGTGATTAAAGCTGCCATGGGTGAACAGAAAAGATGACGTCTACAAAACTTGTGAGAGTTTAATAGCTATAACAGATAAAATGGAACTTTTGGAAGCACAGTCCAAGCGAAAAACTTGATCTTTGAGGGAATCAAGGAGACCGCTGGAGAAAGCTGGACAGAAGCGGAATGTAAGGTGAAGGAAATATTAAAGGATAAACTGCAAATTCATCAAGAAATTGAGATGGAGCGGGCTCACATAGTTGGGAAACCTTCTGATGGGGGACCTAGGGCGA